CACTTTTTAGGTGGGTACTCCAACTATATTGTGTAGAAGGTATAAAAAAAATTAAAAAAACAACAACAATGTAAACAACAACGACACCGAAAAAAAAAGGAAGCCACAAGTAAAAACATGTTTTTAAAGCACATTTAAAACCATCATATAGTACAGAAAAAACAAAAACAACAAGTAAAAACTTTGCGTTTAAGGAAAAATCCCTACAGTATAATGTTTTCTCTAACAATATATATTGCCTGTCCTCTTTATTGTAAACAGAATTAACAAACTTTGAGACAAGCTTATTGTTCGTTCAGAGTATTAGTTACATATATTCGGCAAACAAATTCAATGAAAGTTTTAAATTGGTCGATAAAGCCCCAAAAAGGAGAAGGACAGTTTAGCCAAGATTTATCATCGTCTTTACTCAAATTTAACAGACTGAAAGTAAACCACGAGTTTCTACCAACCAACTGTGATAAGCTAAGTGGTTTCTCCTGAGTGAAGTCCAGACCTTTTGGAAGGGTTGGATTTTCAGGCTTCGCATATTGAGTAGGAACAGGTTGTGAGAAAAGAACTTTTGCAACTTTTTCTTTCTCATCATTTTCGAGTTCTTTCTCTGCGAGACCTAATGGAATCAAGGTTTGATCCAAATACCACGTATGTCTCTCCATTGATTTCTTCATATACCTGGATCATAAGATCCTGGATCATAAGATTATACCCAACTTTTATACTGAAGCATCTGCCAGTATGCTTTTATATCTTAAAAAGGCGCAGAGGAAACTAAAGAGGAACACACAAACCACACAGTATAAAATCAAGAAATAAATTCTGTCATTTTACTGGTTTCTTTTCGCAAACTAGCCATCAATCGGCAACTGATTACTTAAAACATGAATTTAAAGATAATGTGTAGATTTTGCCATTAAACGTGCATGGGAAACTGATCCCGGAGCAAAGGCCAAAATTATATTTCACGCTTTTGGAGAAATTCACAGTTATGAAATTCATTCTTAGACAGTCCTCAAATAATAAATTCGACTTAATTTAATATCCCTTACTCTTTTCATATAACCGTAAAATTGGGTGGCTTTGGCCCTACGGGATGACTTTAGCCCAACATAAATTTTTATTTAAAAATGGTTTAAAATTGATACCTTAAGGTATGCCGGTTGATGTTTAGTAGCAAATTGTGGGAAATTTATTATTTATTTAGTTTAACTTAGTTTACTTAACTCGAGTCTTTGTGATATTATTTTAAATTGCACTTTAGAAGAAGCACCTAAAATCCAAATTTTTTTAGGTGTGTAAACTTTTACATCGATAGCAGTACCTGTAGAAGGTTTTTTATTGGAATATACAGTGACTTAATTTTGAACCATTAGTGTTTGATTCTATCTTGTTTTGAAAACTTAACAGTTTATTACTTTTTTATAATTGAGGTTAAAAAAAGTAGGTTGTCTTTGGCCCACTACATAGAGTGACATTGGCCCGGGCTAAAGTAACCCCATGTATTAGAGTAAACTTTTTTTAGTGATCATTTATAGATATTATGGTAGTTACTATGTTGGAATGAAAAGTTTTGTAGTAGTAATGCAATTTTGAAAAGTATGGTGGTAAAAATATTAAAAAGTATGGTGGTCAGCAAATATTTACATCAAAAGAAGAAGACATGTTTAAGGCATATGCAATAAAATCATCTGAGTTTGGTTTTCCTGTTGATAAATATGATTTAAGATGCATAGTAAAAAGGTATTTAGAGAAAAAAAGCGTCTTTATACCTCAGTTCAAAAATAATTTTCCTGGTGGCGATTGAATTCGATCTTTTTTAAAAAAAAATCCAGAACTCACAAAAAGATTTGCAAGCAACATAAAGCGAAAGAGAGCAGAAATAGGAACGACTATGATTGATAACTACTTTAAAAATCTTTCAAATGAAATAAGTAATATATCACCTGATAATATATGAAATTATGATGAAACCAATCTCAGTGATGATCCAGGTAAAAAAATTAACAAAGCGTGGATGTAAGTATCCTGAACGCATCATTAATTCTACAAAGACCTCATTCTTTGTTATGTTTTGTGGCAATGCTAATGGTGAATTGCTACCACCTTATGTTTAATTACCAACTTAAGACCGTTTAATTACCAACTTAAGTTAACATGGGAATAATAACCTTAGAGCTGGTTTTCGCAAAACTGGAATTTTTCCATTAGACAAGTCTCAATTGCTTTCACGACTACCATGTTGTAATGTAGGTTTAGACTCAACTACTGATTTAGTAAACCAATCATTTTTAGATCATTTATGTAAGTCACTGGATGATCCCTCAGATGGTTCTAAAAAACCAAAGCGACGTAAAGTATGTGTTGTCCGAGGTAAAAGCTTATGTTCAAGAAATATATCACCTTGTGCTATAAATAAAAATAATAGATTAAATTCAAATAATGTAGATACACCTATCAGTATTATAAATACAATTGAGACCAACAACATTGACTTTTCTGGTCCAAGTACAAATACTGGAACTACAGAGACTTCTAATCTAATTTTTGTAGATGTAAGTTTAGTTGTATAAAGTCATACAGAATCTTTAGATCATTCAGCATTAGGCAAAAAGAACTTTCAAAATATTGATAAAAAAAAAAAAAAATGCTTGTAAAAAGGAGAAATTATTAAATCTTGTAGAGAATTGTTACGTAATTGTTAAATGCGATGGAGAGTTAAATCCTGGACAAATTTGTTTATTTATTTTGAGTTATTTATTTTTAGCAAATCAATTAGTAAACTTTATAACTAATTAATTTAATAACTAATATTATTTAATGAAACTTTTGAATTTTTTTTTTCTGCAGTTGAAAAAATTAAGAAAAAATGGAGCAGAAATTACTATTATGAAAAAAAATGGACTGAACTGGAAATGGTCACTACCAGCAGAGCAGCTTTTTTTTCCCCAGTTTGAAATAGTCGATTTTATTGAGGAACCAAAGAAAATTTTGAAAAGAGGAATTTATTCAGTTCCAGAACTTTTTCACTAAACTTTTTAAAACATTATTTTTGTCATTTTTGTTTACTTTATACCTAAACTGTTTTGTTTACTTGGTACCTATACTTGTTTAGCTTGTACCTATATTTGATTTACTGTATACAAGAACTTTGTTACTAAATCTTTTTTTGTCACTTTATTTTTGTAAATTTATTTACTTTGCCTAAATATTGTTGTTTTTATTGTTGTTTTGATTCCTTTAATTCCTTTTTACAGGGTTGGGCCAAAGTCACCCTAACACATAGGGCGACTTTGGCCCACCATTTAAACCACCCAAAAGATACTTCAGGTAAATAATTTTCAAATGGGAGACAGATAGTTCTAACTTTCCTTTTATGCGCTTCTAAAAGTACTTAGTGTTTGAGGAAATAACTTTTGTGGTTTTCATGCAATAGACATTAAGATGCAAAATGGGCCAAAGCCACCCAATTTTACGGAACTTCAAAGCTTTTTTTCAGCGTTAAAGTGATGAATCTGCTCACCATTAATTTCTTGTTTTGTGAGTTTTTTTTCGTATTTCTGCCCTTACAGCTTTCTTTTCATTTAACATTTTGTCTTAGAAAAAAGGTAAGTGATTTGGCTTGCTGTTTAATTCAGCTTTTAATAGTGCTATCTGCTTCGACGTTTTTTGTAAAAGTTAGCTACCGAGAAGTCAAGTAAGATAAACTACCTTTTAGTTTTTGTTTTATAGGGCTTAATTTTTCTCTAAATATGTGTTTAGTTACATCTCGTTTGCTATAACCTGCAAATGATGACAGCCCACTAGTTAAAGGAGATAAAACATTCGTATTAGTATATGAACCTCTGAGGAGCCTTTTTTTATCATCATTTTATTATCATCAGGCTCCTCATATGTTTCATATACCAATACGAATGTTTTATCTTCTTTAACTAGTGGACTGTCAACATTTTCAGGTTATATTAAACAAACTTGATATATGGCTTAAAAAAGGTTTATTGCTAAAGTCAAAAAAACGCTTACTGTCCTTCGCCCTGTTAAAAGTTTTAGTCCAATTTAATGCTTTATTAATGAGACTCCTAACCTGATTTTTAAATGTTTTTATCTTAAAATTTTTAGTGACTTATTATTGAAATTGAAATTTGGCACGTAGTAAGAAAAATTGGTTTTAAAGGTGAGAGAATACATTAGAAAAATGAACCAGCATTCCTTTGATATATACTTGATGTCCAAACAACAACAAATCTTTACCTAATTGGAGTATAGTATTAAGGTGCCTGGGTATTCTTTCTTTTTCAATAAAAGTTGGCAGGTAGTAAGAAAAAAGGTTTTTAAAGTTGAGAGAATATATTAGAAAAATGCATTTCTTCGATATTAAGCATTCCTTCGATATATACTTGATGTCCAAAAACAAGCTAATTTTTATCAACCATAAATTCATAATAAAGATATTTTAACTCAAAGATATACATTCAAAACTAAATTTCCATAAGTCTAGTATTCAAAAAATATCTATGTTGATACATATTTCTAAAAAATAACAGAGCAAAACAAGTTCATACCATGTAACTTTTCAACTAACTTGAAAAAGCGTGTCGCCGAAAAAACTGTTCCGTAAAATTTATTTTACGGCGCCGCTTATTCGGATTTCCAGATTTACGCGTACTTATATTCAACTTGGCTGAGTTTCTATGCTGATGCTAATTCGACCTATTTGCTCTAATTTAACCATAATCATAACAAATAGAAGATTGTATTTTATATAATAACGATTAACCAAGTCAATTTAATTTGTGTAGTAATTCTACCCAATCGGTCAATTTGAATTTAAGACGGTTACGAGTCATGAAAAATAACAGACTGAGTTTTAATTCTACTATTACTACGTCGTAGTAATAGTAGTTTACGATTCTACTAGTCTACGGTTCTACTAGTCTACGTCGTAGAATCGTAGTTTACGATTCTACTATTATATTATAATATTAATATTGTTACTTTTTAAGTTTTCATTTTTCTTCAATCAAAATAATTTTTGCTTTTAGTTGAACTTTAAGAATTACATTACGTTTTTCATGGGCAGTTTAAAGTTTAATTAGTAGAATCTACAACACATCTTGTATACTACTAATCAAGAGTATGTCAAAAGTAATCATTAAGATAAATCCGTAGCAACACAAATAATAAGGTACATGGTTGATGGATTTAATTAACGATGCCCTTAAGCTTGGTTTGAACGTTTCGTTTGACGTAACTTCACCAAACAAAGCATATGCTGGTCATACAGTTTATAGATTAACTCTTAAGGTTTGTTTACATAAATATTATTCAAACTATTGTGTTGAAGATTTTTTGAACATTATTTTAAATCATGTAAAAGCAACCAAATTTTTACCAGCTATATGGGCGTAGATTGATTTCAGAATTAACAAGTTGAAATTTTTTATTCGGGATCCTCATAGTATTATACTATGAGGATCCCCATACTAAGTATAGCATGACTAAAAAAATGAATACAAATAAACTAAGAAACAAACAAAAACACATACACGCAAACTGATAATATTTATAGGTAATAAAGTAAGAACAGGTACTAAAGCCGAAACCATAGCACACCATTAATTTGGCCTAAAATTTGACATTTGAATTTTAAAAGTATTAGAGATGTAAGAAATTGAAATTTGTTTCATTTTCTTAACTTTAAAATTGTCTTTACCAAAAATAAAGTTTACACCAATAATTATTATAGTGGATATTCAGTGTATGCTTATAAGCATATAAGTATAAATTTGGTGATATCATAATCTACTTTAAAATGTTTATGATGCCATCATCAAGCTGACCATCATTGATGGTCAGCTTGGTTTACTTCTTTATCAAAAGTAAATAAGTCTTTAGGAACAAATTAAGAAATTGAGATTGTAAAGAAAATTTCCTAGAAATCTAGCTAACAAATTATTGGTACCAATTGAAGGGATGATAAGTCTGAAACTCATTTTTTTATCAGAAAAACTAACATGCATTTTTATATGCAAGTTGAATTAATGCTTTAAGGGTAAATTTTTTTATAACTAGAATCATTAAAGAAACTTATCCGATTAAAATTTTGATGTTGTGTTTCCGTGTATAGTTTTTTATAAAGCTTTTAGATTCAAAATATAAATTAAAGAAAAAATTATTTTTGAATAGTTCTGCCTTATCTTTGAAAGGGGTAATAAGGTCAGTTATTTGTATGATAAATGGAATGTTAGACTTCACTTTTTAAAGATATTGTTAAATATTTTTTAATAGTACTATCAGGGATATAGTGAGGAAGCTAAGAACTTCACACTTACAAAATAAGTGCTCTATGACCAATGCATTAGGTCTAATAAATTTTTCAAAAAGTAAGACTCAGTAAATTATTATTGTTATTGTAGTGTAAACAAACAAAATATACAAAGATATATAAATTACTAGGTGAAAATTTTATTTTGTTTTATAGGAAGACAACTGCAGAAGTCTTCAGGGTTAGGGTCAGGGTTCCTTTAGACAACACTCGTTTTGGTCATAGTATCGTATTTTTTTTTTTTAGCTTAATTCCATTGTTTTTCATCATATATTTGTCCTGTTTTCTCTTAAAATTAACAACATTTTTGGCTGATACAACTGCAATTCATAGTTCAATTCATAGAAATATTATTTTTTAATTATTATGTCCACAAATACTGGATGCTGGTTCTAATACATTGATCAATTGAGCTTGATTAAGGTTATTAAATGTTACTAAATCTAATCCACTATTTTAAAATGTTGTGATATTGTATTTATTATTTTGAAAACTTGAAACTAATTTTGTAGCTTTCTGTTGCACATGTTAAATTTTTTAAAATTAGAATTATATATTTTTAAGAGTTCCTAAAACTCCTGATTTTTTCCCTAAAAACTGAAAAAGATTTTTTTGGTTATTTTGGCAGCCTCTTAAGACCTTAGAGATATAAAAAAGTTTAAAGGTTTTTTTTTATAACACCCAACAACAATAATATATTATAACAACAAAAAACAAACAAATTTTGGCCTTTTCATTGTTCATCTTTTCTTCTTTGTCTAAAAAAACTCTATATTAAAGTACCAAGTTGAAATATAATGAGCACTATTATTGTTTCCAAGTGATTGATTTTGTATACCAAAGATACAGGATTTATTATCGGTTATTATTAAATCCAAAACTTCATTTGATAACTCATACAAAGCAGTTGGTTCCTGAATTGATTGAAATAATAAATGATTATTCAGCAAATCTAAAAATCTTTGTGAGTCTGATTCAATACTTTTATTTGTATAACTAAAATTGTTTGTCTCACACTGTTTTTGGTTATTTAAAGTCCCCTTTAATTATTACCATTACATATCTAAATTATACATAATAGTTTCAAATACTTTATTCAAACCTTGAAGCATGTTAATTGATTTGCATCAACTGTTGGTGTTTTATAAAATTGAAAAATATTTTATTTTTATTGAACACCAAACATCATCGATAGCTTGTATTTGACATAAAATATTGGCGTAACTTACATATGCATTTTTAATATAAGTTATCACTGCTCGACAGCTCGATAGCTTCTCCAATCATTTCTAAAAGAAGTTTAGTTTTTAAGTATAAATAGATGAAATAGTGAACCAAGTTTCTGTGATACATATTATATCAGGCGAAGTAACAAATACCATTGCTTAAAGTTCATTGAACTTATTATTTAAAGAAGCAGCATTTGTAAAAAAAAATTTAATATACTATTATTTTTGAATAAAGTTGCATTGGGTTTGAAATTTCTGATTCAAATTTTTTATTTACAAAATATTTTTTTTTTTGCTGTTTTATACCTTTCAACTTTAATGTTATCTTTTTTTTTTCAACTTAATTTAACTTTGATTTTTTAAATTTAATTAGTTGAACTGGTAGTTGGTGTTAGAGCTAGTTTGCTGCATATTGGTCGTTAACTGAACTGGTAATTACTATTTCTTGAGATTAACTACCTTATTATTTCTATTACCCTAGCAAAAATCAACATTTAAATTAGTATTGTTTTTCTCTTTGCACTTTTTGATCTGGGTTGATATATACTTTTCTTTTGAGTCTATTATATTTTTAGATTTTCTTAAAATAGCATTTCTCTCAGCAATGGAGCATTGCTACCATTGTCAGGCTTCAATTTTATAACATTTTTATTTTCAATTTTATTACATTTTCATTAACATACAGCGGTTATCTTTTTCCTGATATTTGCGGAATTCAAGATATTTTTTTCAACTTTTAGTTTTTCTGGAGATTCAAAACATTTTCAATACATGCAAGTTGAGGTATATATTTTTGTAATATATTTTCTTTTTTAAGCTTTTTCACTCATCACTCATAGAAAAATTATGAAAAGTATCAAAAACAAAAACAAAAAAAAATTAAAAACAACTTAGCTAAAAGTGAAATTAAAAAGAAAATAAGTGAAAACATGTTCCGTATTTTTTCCTGATATTTTATTCTAACAATTTTCTGGATTTTTAAAATGTGACAAGGATGATCTATGAACATAACTCATTCTTGCTTGACTCGTCATTCAGCAAAGTCTCATTATTTCACTGTATTTGTCCCAGCATCCTCTTAAAACTTTTATTTGTCTAGTTTTTTTCCAAGCACTTCAAAGCTTTGGAACTCTCCCATCTTCATTTTTTCCTGACTCACACAACCAACAACTTTTCAAGTCTTCTATCTACTGTTTCCAGCTTTATAACTCTATTCTTTTTTTTCCTAGTAACTCCCACACTGTTCTCTCCTGAGACTACCAGAGTAAATTTTTGTTTACCCTAAATTTTTTTGTTTATATACTATCATTGGGTTAAAGAAAGTATTTTAAAATAATTTTTAAAATCTTAACTAACTTTTAAACATAGAAATTTTAGATTAATTTGATATCTAAAATAAATCGTGTCATTTTATGATTACATCTATTCAAATTGGTACAAAAATGTTGCAATACAGATAAAAATAATTATTATTACGGTTAAAAGCAATCATATAAAACTTATATTTTTTGTCAAAATGGCTGACGAAAAATGTGTGCATGTTGCTTTATTTCTTTTGGAAAAGGATCACAAAACTTATTAAAGTTGTAAAACTGTAGTAAAATAAACAACTCAGTAAAGTAAACTCCCGGAATACAACTTCATATTCAAAATATATTTTAGAGAGAATATGATGTAGAAAACGAGTGTTGTCCAAAAAATATTTGTAATTCTTGCAAAACAAATTTATATGCATTGAACAGGGGGTGAAACATCAAAATTAAATGATTGGATTGAGAAAATATCTCAAATTAACAAACAAAAACTCAAAAGATTGTCTGATATTAGTGGAATATCTGAAAAAATCATAACAAATAATCAAGATTTGTTGATAAAATTATTAAAAAGATATGTCCTTCTTGTTTTTCTACAATAGGTATGATTTCCATAGATAAATTTAAAATATTGTATAACTTATATAATATTTTAGTTAAAAAACTATTTCTTTATTTATTGTTAAAAAAAAAATTAAAGTTTAGCATAGAGTCTATGCTAGTCAATGCATAGTCTATGATAGACTTATTAAATATTATTGTATTATTTTTATGTTTTACAAATATAATAATATCAGAGTTTTTCCTACTTTAAATTTCTATTTAGGAATAGGAATTTCTCACTTGTAAGCTGCTGTAAGAGTTAACTGCTGTAAGAGTGAAGCTCTAAAAAACCTAATTATGTTGGCTGAAAGTCTTGGAAATGTATCCAGTGAGCAAGTTGCTTCTCGGATTCTCAAAATATTAAATCTGGAGATAAGTTTCCTTTAAAAACTTTTGGAAACAACCTTCTTGTTGTTGGCATACCTGATAATAAATGTAGCAGAGCATCCGTTAAAAAGTTATCTCTAGAAACTATAATGGAAATCTCTAATACTCTAAACATGAGTTTAAGAAAGACTAAGCTACTTTGTAAAGATATGCAACAAAACTTAGGGAAGAAAATGTTAGAACCTAATATATCAACTCAGATAGAGGAGCTGCATAACGTATTTTCAGTTTTTTATGATGTCAAAACTGAATAATTCATTTCAGGGGATGAAGAGATAAGTCGCAGTTTGGTATTTGTAAAAGATACTTCTGTTTTAATTCTTTGTATGATTAATGAAAGAGGTTTGAATCCTTATTGCACTATTGCTAGGATTTCCATCAATGATGGACAGGGTTTTCTTAAACATGTTATAAATGTTTTTGATCCACTATGTTAACATACAACTTCAGAAAGTCTTGATGATTCTGATTTAAAAAGATCATTGGATTTGGCTTTAGATGTTTCAGAGCATAATCATAATCTTAGCAAACTATTGAAACCACTAGCTCTAAGTAATGTAAAATATTCAATAGCATTTGATCTAAAATGTGGTAACTCTTTATTTGGTTTAAGCAGTCACAGTGGCAAGTATCTCTGGTGTGAAGGGGAAAGTACTTTTGAGAGCAAAAAAAAAACAAAACCTTAGGTTCAATTGATATCAACTACAACAAGTTTGTTGAAGATGGATGCAAAAAAAAAAATCACTTAATGGAATTTAAAAACTATATTTCTCCTAGAGTTGTGTATCTTGATGAATCTCTAGAAACTTTAGTAGATTCCTCCACCAGAGTTACACATTCTTATTGGTATTACTTCTATGTTGATTCGTGACTAAAATCGAATTATATAATCTTTAAAGGTTACTACGGAACTGATTTGGATGGTAACAATTCACAGAGACTATTAGATAAATTAGATAATTTAGAAGTTAACCTTTTAAGTACAGTTTCTATATTGCACTTATATATGCAGTATCTATATGTAGTTAACTGTCTTAGAAAGTTTTCAATTAATAAAACAAAAGGATTTAGCATGTTTATTGGAGAATCTATTGCTGAATCAGTTTTAGATTTTAAAAAACTTTCGAAAATCTGCAGCTTCATCTTCTGAAAAAGTTTAATTACCAATTAAATTTTAGCTGGAAAGTTCATATTTTAGCATGTTATCTTGTTCCTTTTCTTCAACATAGTCAGTTTAGGGTTGGTGTATATGCCGAACAAGCAAGAGAAAGTGCTCACCAATATCACTATCAAGTATGGAAGCGATACAAGTGTCGTTTGCAACTCAATCGTTATGCAAAACAGCTTAAGAAAAGTGTGATTGAGTTTGGTATTTAAGGAATTTCAATATTTCATGTTAAACTGTAACATTTATTGCATTGATGTTATATTGTCAACTCTAGAGTTTATCTAGATTTTATCATAAAAGATCTCATTTTTTCATTTCAAAGTTGTATTCTTTTAACAAAAGTTGTTTTAGAGATGTAATACCCTATAAATTTTGAAAAAAATCCCCGCCATCTTCATATTACCCCCTTTCTCTCCATATGTTTATTTAGGTAAAAACTATTTTTTCAAAAAAAAATATGTTTAAAAGTTAGTTTAGATTTTTAAAATTATTTTAAAACACTTACCTAAACCCAATATTAATAAATAAACAAAAAAGAGTAAACCAAAATTTACCCTGGCGGTCTCAGGAGAGCACAGTGCCCAACTTAATAATGGTTGCTTGCAGCCTTGCTGGAAGTAAACCAAAACTAAAAATAATAGAAAGTACTGGTTTCAATATTACTTATATATTATATTTATGCTTTTTGTTAAAACAATAAATTAACAAAAATAAGCAATAGTTAGTTTTTGCTGTTGCTTTTGTTTTTAACTTTTTGTTTTAAATTGTTTTAACTTTTAGGGCAAATTATAGTATCTACTATAGATACTCTCAACCTTTTATTTGGTTAAATTTGATATTGAAAAAAAATAAAACTCTCAACCTTTTATTTGGTTACATTTAATATTAAAAAAAAGATATTGGGAAATTTGGGGTAAAATCTATTGATATTTAAATATGTGGTATTATCCAATGCTAGTTACGCAGCTTGACTTTTTGGCAAAGTGCCAAAGATTCCAACAAAACAATGTTATCATGTTATAACACATATTAAAAACTTATTGAGAAATACAAAAAGCTGAAAAAGAATAAGGGCTGCAAAACAGAAACTCAGCAAAAAAATGAAATTGAAGAACTATTCAATATTTCTCATGAAGATTTTTTTAAATTAATCACAATAAAAAATAACCTTATACTACAGAAAGTAGAAAGAATATGCTATATGAGTTCAGTTGATTGTGAATTATACAAACAAGAACAGTGAATTTTAGATAGAAAAAAGGTAAATAACAAAAGAGAAACAATCATTCTGATTCCTTGGTTTTGTCTACAATTTGTTAAGAGTTAGGTAACAAGTTGTCAAGAGTTAGGTGCCAATATTGAACATTTCTCTACATCATATGAATCTTTTTGATGTGCATGTATTAAAAATTGTGAAGAAGTTGCAAAAAGAGTTATTTCAGAGTTCAAACCACAGGTTCCATTACCTGTAGAAAACTGTTAACTAATTTGAACAGAAGAGATAACGTGAATTGACTGCCCACATTAGTGACAGGATACAAAAAACTGTTGTCAGTCCCAAAACAGGATAGAGGCACCAGTGAACAAATGAGTTAAGCATCTGAACAAGCTTTATTGGAACATTTCATGACAAAATTGTGGTACTCTGTTTTGATACTTCTTCAAGCATCACAGGTATACATTCAGGTGCTTGTAACTTGCTGGAAAAATTAATTTAAAAGTCTTTATTTTTACACAGCCTGTCAACATCATGTTCATGTAGTGATTTCATCCCATGTTTATAAAACTTGTTTTGAACCATTTACTGGCCCAGAGGTTAAGTTGTTTCAACAATTTTGTGATCAGTGCAGTAAACTTAATTCTGAATCATGGGTCTTAACTTTTGCAGATCTCAAAGTAAATGGTTCATTTGAACCATACACTTTGAGAAAAGAGAATGCCTTACTTAAAAGAAGTCAACAAGTAAAAAAATTGAAATATCTGAATAACGTTGATTAAAATCATACAAATAAAACTAAGTTTGAATAAAATAATTAAAACTTTATCAAAAAATAAAATACGTTAATTTTTATTCTACATTGACCCTTAATATCAAGACTCTTAAATCTGATAATATCAAGACTTTTAAAGTTAATTGAGCAATCTCTAGATGTAAAATCTAGGGATTGCTCAAGATCTTAACAATGTTTTGTACGTTTTATTTTTCAGTTTAAAAAAAATGTAATGAAGAGTTGAGAGGCCAATTAAATTATTTCTAAAACTTTAGAAAAAACATTTTAAACAATTTTAAAAAACAATTTTATTATTTTATTTTTATATGAACAGCAAAATATATTAAAAAAAAAAAAGTAGGGTAATTTTGACATATTAAGTTATATAAATTTAACACACTTAAAGAAGTTAGAACAAGATTATTAAAAAAAAAATTGAAACATAAATAATTTAAACCATTCTATAAAGTAACTGTCTGCAACCAGAGCCGTGGTTAAGTTACCCCACACTCCCTAATGTATGTATATTAATCAGTTCATATTTTTGAATAAGTTATTAATTTTGCTAAAAAAATATTTAGAAATATCATTTATTCTACACTTTAAAAGTGTAATCGTAAATAATATAATCATAAATTAACGTGCCTATAATGTAAAAAAAAAAAAAAGATTAAACATAAATTATCAAGGGAAATGTTTATCTTGCTATACTACCCAACTATAATTTAAATATCTAAACAAATAATTATTTTCAGGTGTCTTTTGAAGGAGTGCCGAAATTATTTCCCTGTCGAAATTACCCGTCGTTAGGGGTCGTCCATAAAGTACGAACGCTTTTAGAACAATCCTTCCCCGCCCCCCCTCCTTTCCTTGCATTTTGCTATACGGTGTTTTGAGTATCCTCCACCACACTAAAAGTACGAACGTTTTTAAACTACCAACCTAACATTATATGATATATTTTTTAATTTAGTGTCTCCTTACTTTTATAATTGACCCCCTGCCACTCATCTCATATATGCCACTTGCAGGCCCCCTCTCCTCCATTCAAGCGTACATACTTTATGGATGATTCCTTACCCTACGTAAAATAACTTTAGATTTAAGAAAAATAAAGATATTTAGGTTTATCTTGAGACAACATAATTTGGGTTTAACTTTGTAGAGTACCTCAATATATTTTGAAAATTTGATTTTTATTGTACTTATATAAAATATATATATATATATATATATATATATATATATATATATATATTCTAAAATAAAAATACTAAGTTTAGAAAGCATCAGTTTTGAGTATGAGGGAAATAAATTCCGGATTTTTTTTTATTTTTTATTTTTTTGCAAAATTTTTACCGGATTTTTAAAATATGACCTGGATGATCTCTGAATTTTATAAATTTATTATCACAAAAAGTTCTTTTGACATAAGTTTTTTTTAATTTTTTTTTTTTTTTTTTTTTTTTTGTACATATATAACTTTAACAGGAAGGTAAATGTTTGCCTAGTATTCTAATTTTAGATCTAAATTTTAAATTCTGTTTTTTTTTTAAGGGCATCTTCATAAACATGTACGATGTATTAAAAATATATAAAATATATATATATATATTTTTGAATACTATTTTAAATTGTATATAAATATATATATATATATATATATATATATATATATATATATATATATATATATATATATATATATATATATGTACAAATGCATATAAAAATATTTACTATTATATTTGTTTAATTTCTGAATGTAAAAAAATTTATAAATCTTTTTCAGACACAAGGTTTTAACCATGATGATGCAGTGAAAAATGAGGTATAATTAGCTCTGATAACTTGTTCATGTTTTTAGGATAATATAGTTATATTATGTATCTGTTGGATAATATGGTATAATATATATAATTATTATGTATCTGTTGCAATTAGTTTTATATAAATATTTGTTTTTATTGAATATTTTAGTTTATACTTAAGCTTGCATATATCATCTCAATCTAAAAACAAATATGATTTAATAAACTTTATTTGTTAAAAAAATTAACATTAATTGTTGAAAAAAAAAAGATTGCCTCATAATGATTATCTAAAAAAAGCTTGTTCGTTTCAGGACAAGGCAAAAGTCAAATTTGAAAATTGAAATTGATTAAGTTAAATGAGTCAAATTTTAAATTACAAAAATAAATTATTAAAACAAAACAAAAAAGTTTTAATCACCCTGACCCTAAACCTAACTCTAACCTTAACTCTAACTCTAACCAAGTTGGTGGTACTCACAAACACATACTTAATGGAGACCTGAAGCACCTCCAATAGGAACACAACACTTTGTACTAAGTTATTTAGCTAAATTCATTTAAAAGATTCAATGTTTATATTGGTTGTTTATTACATAATAATATTCTTTATTACATAATCAACTTGTGCATTGTGATGACAAGTCAAATAACTTTTATAACTTGGTATATAACTTGTAATCTAAACTTGAAAATGATAATCAAATAAGTCAAATTAATGGGGAGGGGTGGAATAGTGAATGTATTGGGAAAATGTTATAGAATTTATAGTCATGATATTATATATTAGGTAAATTAGACTAAAAGTCTTTCTTTTCAATTTTACCTAATAGGCTACTGATAAGTTTTATATAAAAACATTAAAAACTAAATTTCAGTTTTTATATGCGTATGTTTGGTGGTTTGTTTGGACATAAAGGCACTTTATACATCAGATATGAAACCAGGCACATCATGTAAGGAGAAGTGTTCCATTACAATTTTTCTGTAAGTTCTGGGAAAAAATGTGCATGTTAAAAAGTAAATGGACGGGGTTAGGGGGAGGAAAGAGCATGGGCATTTAAAAACTGAGTTTAATTCAGGCTTAATTAAAGACTTATTTTTAGTACTAATTATGAAATACTTTTAAATTCATACATACTTTGTATTACAATATATTATAGAAAATAAAGTACAACAATAACTTTATTTTTATTGTTTTTAATGCATTTTGGGCAATTTTCATTATTTTGAGTTTGTAACTTCCCCATGAGTACCCACTTTTTTTTTTTTCACTGTAAAAAAGTCTATTAAATTAGAAGAAAAAAAAAATCTTATTAAAACCAGTGTTGATCCTAGATTACTGGTAGTTTAAAGTGGAGGCTCATTTTCCTAAGTTTTAGCCGCAGCCATTTTTAGAAATCTATAACTTTTTACTGAATTGTATCTTATCAGAAAATTTCTAAAAAATTGGAAGCCTACCATATGTAGAAACTAAAAAAATGTCTTTTCACTTTTTAAACTACTGGTTTCGTACATTGACTCATTAAAAATCAACTTTTTATATTTGCAAACAATTTTTTTAGGTTTTTTAGGTAGCTATTATGGAAAAAAGTGTGACATTCGAGAATTCAATGTCAAAACTTTGTTAAAGTAAGTCTAGAGTTGTATACAATAAAAAAAACTAGAAGGTTTTCTAAAATTTTGTTTTTAAAATAAAGAACTTCCAAGTATGATTAAAACATGTTTTTGTTACTTAAGTTTTTATTTTTGGAAAAATCAGAAATTTCAAATGACCATATCTCATGAACCACAAAACATTTTATGCTAAAATTTTCAGGAATTGGTTTTCTTATTATTAATAAGAAACCCATTAAGTTTCATCAAAATTGAAGGAGGTCCATGTTGGACCCTGGTCCAGTTTGCATGGAATGACTTAATACTTGACTTAATTGGTCTTTTTTTGCTGTCTTGCATGCTATTCATGATAATTGTATAAAAAGGAGCATTCTTAATATTGTTTATTAATGTTGTCTTTAAGGCTTATTATATATTTAATAGCTCCATGGGGCATGTTCAAAACTTGTTTCATAACAGTGTCATGTTTTGATGAAAGATGTACTTGGATTAAAGAATTACCATTGTATCCATTCTCAATTAATTCATAGTGACCGTGGAAAGCTAAACAATTTTCAGAAAGTACTAATGTTATAATAACAAGTCAATTGTAACACTTGTACCCAAAATTTTGGTTCATATCAATTTTTCATATCCTTTTTTTCTCTGCACCACTGGTTTTACTCAAAATCTTGTCCATGTTTACCCTTTTAAAATGTATATAAATTAGAAACAGATACGTAATAACAAGTATGTAATAAATAAAATAAGTATATCTAGTACGATCATATATCTAATACAATAATCAATAATATCCAAAAATATCCAAGTAGTACATTATATTTTGCTTTTCAAAACTTTAAAAAAAACTTTAAAGAAAAAAAAAAAAGAAGCAGTTTTAATAAAAGTTTTTAAAATGAAAAAAAGAAAAAAACATAAATAAGTTTAAAGAAAAGAGTACATAAAAATAAAATAAATAAAAACAAATTAAAAAGACAAAAAAAAAAAGTCAAAAAGTAATAAATAAACAACAAAGAAATCTAAATAAGTTAATGTAACATAACAAGAAAAAATGTAAATAAAAGAAACAAAAATTTATTAAATCAAATCCAAATGCGAATTAAATTAAACTGATGAAAATGTTTTTAATATATATCTATATTTTAAAAGTGTTATGTTTCTAGTTATGTGTCCATCCATTTGTTTTCTGATGTATCCATCAATTTAAGTATATATATATATATATATATATATATATATATATATATATATATATATATATATATATATATATATATATATATATATATATATATATATATATATATATATATATGTATATATATATATATATATATATATATATATATATATATATATATATATATATATATATATATATATATATATATATATATATATATATATATATATATATATATATATATATATAGTTCTTTGTAACAGTTCTAACTAAACAGGACAACATCAAAAAACTAAAGAATTGAGCTACATCAGTATTTTTGTAGTTGTCCCAGTAAAGTTATGATAAAGGTCAAAATTACAGGTGTTATGTTTATTTTCAAATATTTTAAGTTATTTTATTGGATTCCTTGCCTCAAAATATGTAAGTGTACACATTTTCAGCTTTCCATTGCACACAGAACAGAAACAATGACCAAAACCATTTTTTTAAATGGCCTGTTTTCGTTGGTTTAAGGCAAAGTTTGAATCATATCTTTGAAACTGTTTAGAATTAGATGATAAAATTTTGGGAATGTTTATAACTTATTGAAATCTTTGAGTGGTGTAAAAATCAGCAAAATCTGAGACTTAGAGTTACATGCCCTGGATGTTTTCACATGGAATTGCCTTATAGCATGTTGAAAAAATTGGCTAAAATGTGAAGAATTAACATAAATATAAAAGCTTAAATGTTTTTGAATGTCACCTATAAAATATGAGTTTAATAGAGGCACTAAAACAGACTAACTTTCAAATCAATGCATGGTAAAAAAGTGTAAACATTATGGCATTTATGGCATTGATAGAATAAAAACAAAACATCAATTTAAGAACTTTTTAATTATCAGTCAATTTATCATTTGCTTGGGATAAAGTAATTGGTTTTGTTAACATTTCTGTGATTTTCTTTTCTATTCTGATCTTTAGTAAGGATAAAGTTGTACCTTTTTTTAAGTCCATAATAATCTTGTTACAGACTTCATGTTCAATTGATTGAGAGTTGTATGGAAGATAAAGCAAGTGAACCCAAACTTTTGACACTACCGGTCAAAGGTTTGGGTTCACTTGCTTTATTTTTCAATTCTACATAGTTTTCATCAATCATTGAAGCTCCTTCCCCTCAAAACTAGTCTTGCATTAGTTTGAAGTATTTATTTTGACATTTTGTTCGAGAGACTACACACCTATTTGTGTATATAGAGTGTTTATCATCATTACAATAATGAATACTGTTGATATATTTTGCTGTAATAATTGGGTATATTTTGCTGTAACAACTTGATATATTTTGCTGTAAAACTAACTTAATTAACTTTTTTTTCACTGTTGTTGTTTATAGTTTTTTTATACAGAAAGGTAATCAAAACATTGTTTTTGTTCAATATTGTAATGTTCATAGAATAATTATTATGAACAAGGATTAATTTACAATAAATTTTGTCCTAGTTTTAAAATTTGAATACAAATATATATTTTATGTTTTGATTGAAGAAAAATGGGTTTGATCCCCATCACGTCGATCCCCATCACGTCCCATAGTACTGCGCTCGACTTGTTTCTTTGCGCAGCAGCCTTGTTTGTCAAGGTTTGTGTTTCAGAGTTATAGAGTTGAGAGAGGGTTATAACCACAATTAAGTAGCCTCCTCGTCTGTAGTGGTCTTCTCAGCCTTGTTGAAGTGAGTTAACAAAAAAAACAAAAAAGTATCTGAATTTACTGACTTTTCCCTGTTTTCACTAATTTCCCTGATCTGGCAGACAGCAGGTATTGTTAATTGAAACTTTGCTCACAAACAACAAAACTTGTACTCACAAACAACGAAAGAAAAAATGTAACGTCACTATTTTCATGCCTTCATGACGTGGTTTTTACTGATATAACAATAGTTTTTTTTTTTTTTTTATTAAAAGAAACTAGACGAATAAAAGTTTTTAGAGCATGCAGGGACAGATACAGTAAAAGAATGAGACTTTGCTGAATGACAAGTCAAGCGAGAATGAGTTTTAGTTGATGGAACTAGAGATTATAGCTAGATTATAGAGATAGAGCAGGTCCAACTATGCTAACAATGCGTTTTTGAACCTTGTCTAGAAGAGAAAGAGCATCATTAGAAGAACTAGCCCAAATATGATAATACTATTCCATACAGGGATGAATAAGAGATTTGTAGAGGTAGAGAAT